ATATTGGGCTTCTTCGAACGTCCGTGGGCCGTCTCGGAGCCCTCTTGGCGCGTCTTGGGGGCATCTCCCGACTCTCGCGGCCGTCTCGAGACCTCTCTGGACGCTCTCCGAGGCCCCCCAGGGCGGGGAGCTCGGAAACGTACAAGGGAGGGGCACCTCGGTGGAGCCCTGGCCCCGTGGTCTCCCACAACCACTTGGCCGACCCCAGAGAACCTGAAGGGGAACTGGAACACACAAATAAATACACACAAATAAAAATATCCCCCATATTTTCCCATATTTTCTGTTTTTTTGTCTTCCCCCCCCACTGCCCATATTTTCCCATATTTTCTGGGGAATCGACGATTAATTGTGTCTGGGTGTTTCTTTCCCTCCTGAGGAACCAACAACACCTTGCCACCTCTCAGGGGTGGAACGCTTCCTGCCGCCAGCGTCCGCGGGCCTTCCGCCGGCGGAGCCGCCTTCCGCTTTACTTCCCCCGCCCTCCGCTGGCCTCCCGCCGAGGAAGAGCCACGTGAACCCATTCGGCCCCACGGCGAAGCCACCTCTGGAGCGCCCCGTCTGTGCTTACTTACATCGATCTGCATACACGGTGCGACCTCGAGCCTCGAGAAGCCATGGCTGAAGAGCTCGCTCCGCGCGGCGCCCCGGGCGCAAGGATCAGGACTTCTCCTGTGAGGACGGCCGCTTGCTCGCAGGACCCCTGCTGGCCGCCCGGTTCGAGGCCTTGCTGTTCTTGCGCTCGGACTTCTCCGCCGGAGGGGGGAAGACGGCAAGCACCTCCTCGCTTGGACGCCCCAAATGGGTGCCAGAAAAGAGTGCGCACGAAGCCCACCAGCGAACGCTGTCCATCAGCGACATCGGCCGCTGGTGGTAAGGAGCCCACGAAGGACGTACACGCCCCACCCATGTACATGGACACGGCCCCCCAATCCGCGAGACCGGCCGCGTGGAGAGCGTTTCTTTCTGCTCGGCGACGACGGGCGTCATGGGGGGGGGGGTATGACGCCCCCCCCCCCCGCCGTGTGGGTCCGGCACCACAGCCGCGCCCGCGAGCACGACGCGACGAGCGACAAGCGACGAGGACGACGAGGACGAGGACGACGACGACGCGAGCAGCATGTAGGTGGCGATCTGCCCCCTCTGCGCCTGTGTACACCACAGCGCTCGCGTGCACCACAGCGCGCGTGTACACCACAGCGCCTGCGTACATCACAACAACCGTGTGCAACGCAGCGCCTGTGTACACAGAAGTGCTAGCGTACACTACAGCGCCGGTGTCCATGCGCACACCGGAGGCAACCATATGCAACACAGCGCCTGTGTACACCACAATGCTTGCGTGCAACGCGGCGCCTGTGCACGCCACGGCGCCTGTCTACACCACAGCATCCGCGTGCAACGCAGCGCCACTGTACACCACAATGCCTGCGTGCATCGGACAGGTCGAAGGAGCCTGTGCGTGCGGATCTGCTGCGGAAGCGCCACGCCAGGAAAGTGCTGATAATCGAATGCGACGTTTTTCCCTCTTCCATTTTCCTCCACTTCCATCTCCTCCTCCTCATTTTTTTCTCTTCCCCCTCCTCCTTCTCCTCCTCCTCCTCCTCCACCTTACCCCCTGTCGTGCGGGTTGGCGCTACAGCGCACGTGCGCAACTCAGCGTGCACCGCAGAATGGTCTATTGAATCGGCCCACTTGGTTCTCGGACGACCAATTTAGCTGGAGTCTCCTGGACGCAGATGGGAGGATTTACGGTGATGCGGGCGAACTCGGAAGGTGGTGCTCTCTTGTCCATAAGGATTATTGTCTTGCGTTGTCGGTGGAATCCACAAACGCTCCATTTATTTTGTCAGAACGATTCCTTCTCACATTCTACATACAACAGTGGTGCTGTGTTGCACACGGTTGCTGTGGTGCACACAAGCGCCGTGGTGTACACAGGCACTGCAATGCACGCAAGCATTGTGGTGTATAATGCTGTGTTGCAAACGGCTGATATGGTGTACGCAGGCGCTGTGGTGTACACAAGAGCTGTTGTGGCCGCGCGCGCGGTGGCACAAACTGACGCTGTGTTGCACGAGGCTGCTGTGGTGTACACAGGCGCTGTGGTGTACACAGGCGCTGTGGTGCACGCAGGCACTGAAGTGTACACAGGCGTTGTGGTGCAGGTCGCAACCTACATGCTGGTGCCATCCGTCCTCCGTCATTCCTAAGCATTCCCAGGCACCGCCGGCGCGACGTGACGCCATCGACCCCCTCCACCCCCCCAGATGATTGCCGTCATCGGCCCGTCCGCGCGCACGACGACGATGAGCGACGAGCGACGAGCGACGAGCCACGAGCCACGAGCGACGACGACGACGACGACGACGACGTCGACGACGACGACGACTGCGGACCAGACTCCTATGCGGACTCCTACGCGGATCCCAATGCGCACGGCGGCAGTGCCCGGAGCGCACTGGGGGGGGGAGCGTTACGTCATTGGGGGGGGGTGGGGGGGCGGGGGCCATGACGCCCGTCATGCCGCAAATAAAAAAGAAATGGTCTCGTGATACGAACGTTCGCGCAATGCGTGCTCTCGAAACCAACGTGGTTTCATGTGCGTGTACTTCTTTCTTTCGCTCCTGAGGTGGGCAGGCAACCCTGGTGTCTCGAACGGAAAACGTTCGCGGCGACACCGACGGCAAGTCATGCTCAAGATGGACAGGGACTGCTGTCGGTTTCCGCCCAGCTCTGCCCCTACCATTGCGATCGTACCGATCCTCGGGCGTGCACACCTGGGTGAGCGCATCCTTCAAGACCTCACGGAATCTCTGCTCCGTGACGCACCCGGCGTCGGAATCGGCCAGCTGGCCTTCCTTCTGCAGCTCCGCGATGCTCTCCGACAGCTTCGGAAGCGAGTTCTTCGCTGCCATCTGGTTGATGCACAGCAGCGCCACCTCGCCGAGGGGCTTCTGCTCGGGGGGCGGCACCTCCTTGGGATCCGGCAGGTGCAGCGGCAATATCACGTTGCCCCAGCGCCACTCCTTTCGGGTCGGTCGGAAAGCATCGGTGGCGCGCAAACATGGATTAGCGATCCATGGATTTGGTTGGCGCGTGGTCGACAAATCCATAGATCGGGGGAGGCGCCCTCCCCAAAATGCGACCGGTGCCGCCTCGTTCGGCGGCGGAAATCCGCGATTCCCGATGGAAACGGGACCCGTCGCCAGTCCACGCCCCCTTATCCAAGTTTGCGATCGCCCGGAAGCAGGCGGGGGGACGGAGGAGGGGGGGAGTCGGCGAGGTAGCTCACGTCGGATCCCCCAGCGCTTCCGGGCGCCGGGAGGCGCCGACGCATCAAAGGGAAACGCCCAGAGGGGGGAGGGGCCGAAACCGGCTGCACGCAGCAGAGGTATACCGTACCCCGCCCGCCCTGTTCCCTACGTTGGACACGAGCTATGGGGCACCGTCTCCGGTTGTCTCGCTTCTCGTGGCCCCCGGGGCCATCGGAGGTCGGAATCAGGGGCAGAAGTGAACATCACCTCTCGGAGGTCCGCGCGGACTTCGCGGATCGGCGCTGGACCCCCCTCCCTGGATTGCGGAGCGCACCAGGGGCGGCGCCGGAGGCGCCGCTTGGGGGACCCAACGCCGATCGAAGACATCCGCGCCGCCCGGACCGCCGAGAAAGTATGTCTGTGCCGTTGTGGGTTCTTCAGAGGGCACGCTCGTGGGCAGGGAGGACTCGAGCTAGACGGTGTTCTCCGTTCTCGTCTTGTGTTCGTTCTCCCTCGTTCTGTCTTCGTTCCGCCCCTGCTGCAGAGCGAAATCAGAACGGACACGGTCCGCCACATCGCCTAGGCACCGTTTAGCTCGCGCCCTGTTCGTGGGGTACCTGCTGGTTGGCAGGTGTATTACAGTGGAGGCTAGCCCACAAGAAGCCTTCCACAAGAAACCCAACCCTGAGACCCCAGGACGTCCGCTGTTGTTCTGGTGTGGGAGCGTCGCGCTCTCCATCGCAAGACCGTCGAGACCCCAGAAACACAGGGCACCCTGGAGGCGAGCAGGGTGCTTCTTGACTTGGGCCTCTCGGGAGCGGCCAAGAGGGGGTTGTCCAAGAGGGGGGGTGCAAATCATGACCAGAGGCATGTGCGCGACCCGGCGGGGGGGGCCAGGGACGCAATGAAACAAGAAGAGGCGCCGTGAAATCCGAGGAAATACCGTGGCCCCCGCCATGATATCCGCCCTTCCCAAAGTCCTCGCCCCCCTCTTGGCCGCCCCTGAAGTCTCCGCGGCACCACCCCCCTCGCCTAACCCGGTCCTTCCACCGGCCGGGGCCGCGGTTCCGCATGTCGGCAGGCGGGCACGCGCGCGCAGGCCCGCTGCCTGGGCAGAGCAGCCGGCCCGCGTTCCCGGAGTTGGCCGACACGCGACGTGCAGCCCCGGGGGCCGGAAGGAAAGCGGCCCTGAGCCGAAGCGGTTGCGCACGATGGCGATGCTGGCAATGATGATGATGATGATGATGATGATGATGATGATGATGATGATGATGATGATGATGATGATGATGATGGTGATGGTGATGGTGATGATGATGATGATGATGGTGATGATGATGATGATGGTGATGGTGATGATGATGATGATGATGATGATGATGATGATGGCGATGACGATGATGATGATGATGATGATGGTGATGGTGATGGTGATGGTGATGGTGATGATGATGGTGATGGTGATGGTGATGGTGCTGATGATGATGGTGATGATGATTGTGGTGATGATGATGTTGATGCTGCTGCTGATGACGATGATGCTGATGCTGCTGCTGGTAATGATGCTGCTGATGATGATGTTGGTGCTGCTGATGATGATGAGGATGATGCTCATGATGATGATGATGCTGATGATGACGCTGCTGATGATGATGGTGATGATGATGATGATTCTGATGATGCTGATTGTGATGATGATGCTGCTGCTGATGATTGTGGTGATGATGAAAATGACGATAGCGCACGATGATGAAGACTATGTTGACGCTGATGCTGGTCCTGATGCTGTTGCCGGTGCTGCTGATGTTGTTGCTGTTGCTGTTGCTGTTGCTGTTGCTGATGCTGATGCTGATGCTGATGATGACGATGATGATGATGATGCTGATGCTGATGCTGATGCTGATGATGATGATGATGATGATGATGATGATGATGATGATGATGATGATGATGATGATGATGGTCACGCAGCGCCTTCACGCGCCAGGTTATCCGATGAACATAGCTCGAATGCGAGGCTCACTCGTAGATATAGCTCGAGCTCGAACTTAGCAGGATGAAAGGATGCAGTCGGGGCCGTGAGCATGATGATGAGGATGATGATGCTGAGAAGATGATGATGACAAAGCTAATGCTGGTGATGATGATGCTGATGATGCCGATGATGATGCTGATGATGATCCTGATGCTGATTCTGATGATGACGATGCGGATGATGATTACGGATCCACCGGGAACCAACTCCGGTCAACTAGGGCGGCACCGAAAGGCGCTCGCAACGAATGATGTTCAGCGCAAGGTGTACAGTTGTGGCCCTCGGGTCGCCCTGTGGAAAAAAGCCTCTCGGCTGTGTAGAATACTTTGTGGGAGGTGGTTAACCGGTAGAGCCCTGCGGGGGGCGGCTCGGGCCAGCTGCGAAGGGCATCCGGAACGGCGGGCAGGGAAGCACGAACGATGGCCCACCTGCTGATGATGGCCCCCCTCCCAACTGCCACGGGGGTCACCTACTTCGCTGTGGTGACATTGCTAGCTGTGGCGGCCGAGCGGATGTGCCAAGAATGTTCGATGGGGGCTCGTCGGGCTGGAGCCTCTCGGCGCGAGGCGCTCCAGGCGGATCTCGCCAAGGGCGCCCCGAGGCTGCACGGGTGGTCGAAAGACCCCAGAGACTGCGAGCCCGAGCTCACCACGCAGCACCAATCCATGCATGATCGCGCTGCAGACCCACGCAAGCTCTTGGACAGGTATCGCAGTGAGTGGGCTGGGCACTGGAACGAACTCGACCCGCACCAGGCGCGGGTACGCCTCGGCTAGGTCCAGGCGGCCCTCGAGGCCATGGTAGAGGCAGAAGGCCACGGGAGCAGCCACCTGTATGTCTGCGCTGAAGACGTGGGCAAGGTTGCGAGCAAGAGAAAGGCAGAGACCTGCAAGCCCGCGGGGACCCATCCCCGGCACCTGGGGTGGCTGTCCGACCTCGATGCGACAGCCAGCCTTCTGAATCTGGTCACGGCCACTGGGCTCATGCCCACGTGCGAGCAGGAGCTGCTCTCGGCCCAGGACACGAAGCCGCTCGGTGGAGGGAGCAGCCCGATCGGCCAATCCAAGGCGCTCTACCGTGTGTGGGGCAAGTGCCAGCGGCACCGCCTGTGCGCATGGCAGCGCGAGCTCGACGATTGGGGCATCCTCAGCACGGGCGAAGGGCGGAAGGTCTCCGACTGTGTGTGGCGGGCGGCGGATCGAGGCGAGATGGCCGAGGAACAGGCTCCATCTTTCCTGGTCTTGCTGTGGGACTTGGCCAAGGCCTTCGGGAAGATCAACCACAACAAGCTGGTCGAGCTGGCGCGCCGCGAGCAGCGCCCAGCCCCGATCCTTAGGGTTGTCGTGAACACATTCCGCTGGACCAGGTACGCGGTCATGGATGGCATGGTGGCGCCAGGGGTCCGCCCCGACAACGGGATCGTGGCGGGGCGCGTCGCGGCCACGTATGCGCTGGCGGCCTGCCTCATCACGGTTCTCAAGGCGCAGCATGAACGGCACCCAGAGGTTCTGCTCACGGCCCACAATAATGACATCGGCCAAGAGGTGACGGCCGAGTCTGATGGGCAAGCCGTGAGCCTGCTGACCAGCAGCAAACGGGACCCCAAGACTGCGGTGGAGAGCGACCTGGGCATGATCGGGGGCGTCCAAGATGGGGGCGTCCAACAGGGGGGGGGGGGCGCAACCCGTGGCCGGCGGCGTGTGCGCGGCCCAAAGGGGGGCCGGGGACGTAATGAAATGAGAAGAGGCGCCAGGAAATCTGGGGAGATATTATGGCCCCGCCATGATATCCGCACACCCCGAAGTCATCATCCCTCTTGTTGCCGCCCCCGACATGAAGCTGGCCAGCGCCAGGGGCACCCAGCTAGGCAACAGCACGGCTGTCACGGAGATGGCCCAGGCCTCCCAGGACGCGATGAAGAGCCCGGGGCTGCCCGAGCGCCCGCCCAAGACTCGGCGGGCGCTGCGGCGCGCGCAAAGCGCCTCCATGCGGCATCTGTGCGCCGACGTCCGCGCGGGGCGCCGAGCTCGGCCGCGGCAGGCAGGCCGCTGCGCGCGAGACAGAGCGGTGCACTCGGCTGGACCTGGTGGGTGCATGCGGGCGCGCATGGGCAAGGCCCGCGTGCGCAAGGCGCTGCGGGCAGTGGCGCAGGTTGCGGGGTGCCGTGAGATCTGTCCTCCCAGCTGCGAAGTGTGGCGGCGAGGTCACGGGACTCACGGACCTGGAGATCCATCAGCTGCGGGTCCGCGGCAAGGCCCTCCATGATGATGGGCATGCCCACGCCAGCCCCGACGTGTTTGGCGCCGTCCTGCCGAAGCTCGACCAGCTGGGCGACCTGGTCTCGATGGGGATCGTGCGCTACGCGGAAGAGTGGTGGCGCTCGACCGACCGCTGCCAGGCGAACGGACGCGTCCTCACGCCCACGGAGCTGCGCGCGGCCTTTGACTGCGCCGCGCGCGATCTGCAGCAGGACCGACCCGAGGCAGGGCCTGTGGGCGCCATGCTGAGGTCTTTCAAGTGGGCGGGATGGCGGGATGGGTTGCCAAGCGCGCCACGACCTTCGAGTCCCCGAGCCTCGGGGAGATCTCGATGCTGCGCTTCGGGCTCAAGGAGGAGGTGGGCAATATCTCGCGCCGACGGAGATGCGAGCTGATGCCGCTGTGCGGACTCGCCTGGGCGACGACGATGGGCCGGGAGTTTGGTGGGAGGGCTTGAGGGCCATCATCGGCAACCGCTTCGTCGCGCCGCTGACGCGGCATATCCTGGTCTCCACCACGCGCGGGACCTACATGACGAGGAGCCTTGCGCACAAATGGGCCTACTTGGTGCAGCCGCTGTGCGCGGACTGCCGAGTGCCCGACACACCCCAGGACCTCGCGTCCCGGAGTGCCCGCGGTGCTGCCCTGGGCGCTTGGAGCAGGCCGACCGCTGGGCCCACGTCGAGGTCCCAGAAAGACCCGAGACCCCGTCCGACTGGCGAGTCTGGTTAAACGACCAGGCCGACCAAGCGGCGAAATTAGCTTGCAAGCTGCATGATGTGCATGCCCCTACCCTCGCCTTCATAGAAGACCAGGTTGCTCGGGCAAAGAAGTTTCTGCATGCTGCTTCCCATGTACCCTAGTCGGGGCCAGTCCCTCGGGATGAATGGAATTCCCTGCAGAGGGCCGCCCCCCGTAAGGTCCCAGCCTGCAGGATTGCTCACGAGTTTCTTCAGATCGGCCCGTCCCGGTGGCAGTGCAAAGGATGGTTGATGTCGAAAGTGACCCCATCCAGAACTCTCGATCAGAAAGTACTGCCGACCTGAAGAGGCGCCCCAGAGTTTCCAGCGTGTGGCCCAATTTGACCACACGCACGATATCGAGTGGTGTGAACTGATCCCGCGCCCTGAGGCTGAGGTTGGAGACACGCTTATGTTTGGCAAGTGGTGTTGCCAGTATGCGACCACTAAGCCCTCAGTTGGGGCTCGGCAGAGCCTGTCCTAGCTTTGGTGTCGTGGGCTGGCGGCGCAATGAAGCGGCGCAGCACAAGGTGCGCCGCTTGTTATCACTCAAGCACCCGAAATGTGGCAATGTGGGACCGTACAGTCGCCCACGGGCCCCTCTCGGGGCAAGTCGACGGGGCTCGCCAAGCCCACGAACACCCTCATGCGTAGGGCTGTTCGCCGTTGTCTGGCCCCGCCAGGACCCAGTGTAGGTGGAGGAAAAGACCACCGCCTCCTCCTCCTCCTCCTCCTCCTCTTCCTCCTCCTCCTCCTCCTTTCCTCCTCCACTTCCTCCCCCCCTTCTTCGTTGCATCATCCCCACACCCTCCCCGTCCTTCTCCACACACATCCTCCCATCAGGCCTCTGGGCGTAGGTGGCTCCTGCTTGCGCAAGGGCTCCAGCTCTTCCACCCCCCCTTCCCCTTTGAAGAGGGGCCAGCTCCCCCCCACCCCCTCCCCTGGGTCTGGCGCTGAGGGCGGGAGGGGTGCGGTGTCAGATGGTCGCGAGGTGGTCTCAGGTGTCCTGAGATGGACTCCAGCATTGTTGTGTCTAATCT